GAAAAAGAACACAGTCCCAGAGTTCACACTGGGAAGGTAACTATAGTCCGAGGAAGTCCAGTTTATTGTTGAAGGAGGGAACATTGGAAAGGAGAATAGATGGTAGAGCCGGGAGGTTAGGGTCTTTAACCTAGCACAGATGCCCGCTCGCTTGCAGCACTTCCATTTTCTCATACACTGTTTCTGGCGCTCTCTACCCCCGAGGCCTGGTTCATGTAGCAGCCCTAGGTCGTGTGCTACTGTGCTGCCATCTTGGTAAAAAAAAAATGTCTGAATGGGAATAAAACCCCAAAGCCATATTCCAAATCTAGTGGAAAGCTGTCCCAGAAGATTGGAGGGTATTATGGTAGCAAAGGGGGGACTAAATCTGGAATGGGATGTTCAAAAAGCACATATAGGTGTGGTCAGGTGTCCACAAACTTTTGGCCATATAGTGTAGCCAAGCCATAGCTTGGTGAAGAGATTAATTTGCTACCTTGACTTTTAGTTAACAAGTCTTTTTTTTTTTTTTTTTTTTTTAAAGTGGCTAAAACCTGTGAAGTAGTGACTGTATTATTTTCCAAAGAATTCATGTATAATTGTCACTTTTCTGTGTGTAGGTTTGAGACTCTTGAAGGAAATCCAGTACTGCAACTTGACCCAGTTGTACCAGGAGTTTTTGGTGGGCCATATCCTCTGGGTATTGACCCAGTAAGCCACACAAACACAATAAAAACACTATTTTGTGCAACCACTAAACATAGAGTGAAGGATTGAGCATCAGTCAAATTCTTTCTGTGGGTCTTCTCTTCTAGATCTGGAACATTGCCACAAACAAGCTAACCTTCCTGAACTCATTTAAAATGAAGATGTCAGTGATTCTAGGGGTGATTCATATGTTGTTTGGAGTCACTCTTTCTCTCTTCAATCATCTGTGAGTATTGTTTGTTTGTGTATGTGTGTGTGTGTGTGTGTGTGTGTGTGTGAGATCTCATTCCATTCTTATAATCCTCATTGTATTTTCTAAGGGAACAATATGTTACAGACGTGGACAAATTTGTTGGTATCCTTCCATGAAAAAAAGAAGAACCCACAATTTTCTCTGAAATAACTTGAAATTGACAAAAGTAATTGGCATCCATCATTGTTTACTCCATATTTAATAAAAATCAAACTTTGCTTTTGATTCTTTATTAAACAGAATATTTTAAATGATAAAACAAATGAAAATGGCATGGATAAAAATGAAGGGACCCTTAACCTAATATTTTGTTGCACAACCTTACAGTCAGATCCAGAAGTATTTGGATAATGGCAGAGTTTTTGTGATTTTGCCTTTATACACCACCACAATGGATTTGAAATAAAACAATCAAGATGTGATTGAAATGTAGACTTTCAGCTTTATTTTAAGAGGTTCCACAAAAATTTGGCATTTACCATTTAGGAATTACAGCCATTTTCAGCAAATTATCTCCGTTTTCAGGGGCTAAAATGTATTTGGACAAAGTGACATAATTGTAAATATAACCATGATTTTAATGCTTGGATGAGAATCATTTGCAGTCAATGACTGCCTGAAGTCTGGAGCCCATGGTCATCACCAAATTCTGAGTTTCCTCCCTGGAGATTCTTTGCCGGGCCTTCACTGCAGCCACCTTCAGTTGCTGCATGTTTGTGGGTCTTTCTGCCTTCAGTCTTGTCTTCAGTATGTGAAAAGCATGCTCTATTGGGTTGAGATCAGGCGAATGACTTGGCCATTGAAGAATATTCCATTTCTTTGCCTTCAAAAAGTCTTGAGTTGCTTTTGCAGTATGTTTAGGGTCATTATCCACCTGCACTGTGAAGCAGCGTCCTATCAGTTTTGTAGCATTTGGCTGAATGTGAGCAGAGAGTATAGCCCTATACACCTCAGTATTCATCTTGCTACTTCTGTCAGCAGCCACATCATCAAAAAACACCAGTGAGCCTGTTCCATTGGCAGCCATACATGCCCATGCCATAACACTGCCTCCACCATGTTTGACACATGATGTGGTATACTTTGGATCATGAGCTGTTCCTTTCTTTCGCCATACTTTTCTCTTCCCATCATTCTGGTACAAGTTAATCTTGGTTTCATCAGTCCAAAGAATCATATTCCAGAACATGGGAGGCTTTTTTAGATGTTTTCTGGCAAAGTCTAATCTGGCTTTTCTGTTCTTGAATGTTACCACTAGTTTGCACCTTGTTGTAAACCCTCTGTATTTACATTCATGAAGGTTTCTCTTGGTTGTAGATTTTTACAATGATACGCCTACCTTCTCCAGAATATTCTTGACTTCTATTGATGTTGTGAAGGGATTTTTCTTCACCAAGGAAAGGATTCTGCAATCATCCACTTTAGTTGTCTTCCATGGTTTTCCAGGCCTTTCGATGTTGTTGAGCTCACCACTGCTTCTTTCTTTTTAAGAATGTACCCAACTGTTGGTTTGGCCACACTTAAGGTTTTTGCTATCTCTCTTATAGATTTATGTTGTTTTTGTCAGCCTAATGATGGAATCCTTCACTTGCACTGAGATCTCCTTGGACTTCATATTGGTCGCTCCAGTCAAACAGCTGCCAAATGCCAACTCAATACCTGATATCAACTCCAGACCTTTTATCTGCTTCATTTGTCTTGAAGTAACGAGGGAATGGACCGCACCTGGTCAATTAACTTCTTGTCAGTCAATTGTCCAAATACCTTTGAGCCCCTGAAAATGGAAGTAGTTTGCTGAAAATGGCTGTAATTACTAAGTGGTAAATGTCCACTTGATAGTCTTGAGATTTCATTGTGCCCTGCACAGATTCAAGGCACCCATTGCCATACACAGCAAAGTAGACCCAAAACATAACTGAGCCTCCTCCATATAGTAATTATGGTGTTCTTCTCTTTGAAATTTTATTTTTTGCCTCTGAACATAGAGCTGTTGTAACTTGCTAAAAAGCTCCAGTTTTGTTTCATCTGTCCAAAGAGATCAAAGATCTGTGATCAGACACTGATGTACCTTGACCTTGGAGTTCAGATTGTATCTCTTTGTCTACCATTTGCACTATCCTTCTGTTCAATCTGGGGATGATTTTCCTCTTGCAGCATGTCCAGGGAGGTTGGCTACAGTCCTAGGGACCTTAAATTTTCTATACGTAGTCACAGGAACATCAAGCTGCTTGGAGATGGTTTTATAGCCTTTGCCTTTAACATGCTTATAATTTTCTTTCTGATCTCCTGAGACAACAATCTCCTTTGCTTTCTCTGGTCCATGTTCAATGTGGTATACCTGGTGATACCAAACAGCAGAGTGAATACCTTTGTCCATTTAAATAGGCTGATTACAGGATTGAAGTTATATGTGATACTAATTAAAGAAAACAGTTAGCTTGAAATATGACTATAATCTGAATATTTATAATCTTTTCTAGGGGTACCAACAAATCTGTTCTGGCCATTTTAGAATATCTTTGTAGAATAAGCAATAATTTCTCTTTTTACACTTTCTTTGCTTTTACTCTATGACATACCAAAGCCATGCAGGTATACATGAGACAATTGCTTTTAATTTCACCACTTTTCAGGAGGAATGAAGCATTGTTTCAATGCACTGTAAGGGTACTAACAAATTTGTCCACATCTGTATATCACCATTTTATTGATTATATTGTCTTTTTGAATATTGTCCTGTGTGTTCCTAGGTACTTTAAGAAGCCTCTGAACATCTTCTTGGGTTTTATCCCTGAAATTGTGTTTATGAGCTGCCTTTTTGGTTATTTGATCTTGCTGATCTTCTATAAGTGGACAGCCTACGATGCAACCACTTCTAAAGATGCTCCAAGCCTCCTTATTGCCTTCATCAACATGTGTCTTTTTAACTACAACGATCCAACTAATAAAGCTCTGTACAGTGGACAGGTGAAATATATTTTCACACCCAATCATACACCTGATTCCTTCCTCTCTCCACACAAGTATTCACTTGTAAATCTCCCTAAATGGCATAATTACAATTTGTCCACAAAATATTCCTTGCTTATATAGTGTATTGTACCTATTAATGTGTTATCATGCTATAACAATTCTTGTTGGCAATCTCAATGCCTAGATGTGAACTTAAGCGTACAAGGCCATTTATGTCAGGAATGTTGCAACAGGAATATGTGTTAAAGACAAATGTTTCACTAATAAATTCTCATTTACCCCATGGTACATATCTCATACATCTGTCAATATATTACATGTCATTTTCTTTAGATGGGTATCCAGTCTCTGTTGGTGGTTATTGCAATGAGCTGTGTTCCCTGTATGTTGGTGGTGAAGACCATGGTGCTCCGTCGTCAGCACCTGTGGAAAAAGCACTTGGTATGTTTCTATTCTCTAATGTCCTTTCAGTCATTGTGTTGGTATTAAACTCAGTGTTGCTCCAGGGAACAAATCAATGTAGATGATAGAAAGCTTTGTTAGTATCCTGGATAAGGCAGAATATTCAAATTTCACTAACACTACACTACTATATATATATAGTTTATATAGTATGCAATTTTAGGACAAGAGAAATCTACAACTTAGTATGTAATTGTTTTTGCAGAATTTCTAGCAGTTATTCTCAACAAAGTCCATGTGAAGTTAAATTATTTAATGTACAGTGTTGTGAAAAAGTATCCCAGAAATTTTTGTAAATTTCTTTTATAAAAGGCCTTTAGCCTAGTACAGATGCCCGCTTGCTTGCCGCACTTCTGCTTCCTTGCATGCCATTTCCTGCGCTTTTAAAAAAAAATTATTTTATAAAAAACAAAATACAGTTTTAAAATGATTATTTCTTTTGTTGTTGTTGTTCCTTTTTTGGCTGCTCCCGTTAGGGGACACCACAGTGGATCATTGGTCTGCGTATATTTGATTTGGCACAGTTTTTATGACAGATGCCCTTCCTACCACAACCCTCCCCAATTTTATCCGGGCTTGGACCCGGCGCTGAGAGCGCACTGTTTCACGCAACCCTAGTGGCTGGTTCCCTGGCCAGGAATTTAACCTGGGATGCAGTGGTGAGAGCACTGTGACCTAACCATTAGTCCTCCAGGGACCCTAAATAATCATTTAGGAATGGAAAAATGTTATCCGACACCAACTTGCCCTGTGGGAAAATGTAATTCCCCCCTTAGTTACTCAGTCAAACAATTAACCAAATTTAATTGATAATTTAGACTAGACACTGCCAGGATTGATTACTGACAGCCCTGTTGAATCTAAACATCATTTGAATAGAACTTTTTCAGCAATGTGAGGTAGTTTGAGAAGATCTAAACAAGCAGCTGTGAACAACATACTTTCAGAAGAGATGAGAAAGAAAGTTATTGAAATATGTTAGTCTGAAAAGGGATACAAAGTTATTTCTAAGGCGCTGAGACTCCAAGGAACCACAGTGAGAGCCATATCTCCCAAAACTTGAAACAATGGTGAATCTTTCCAGATTTAGCTGGCCTACCAAAATTCTGCCAAGAGCCACTGGTGACTGATCCAGGAAGTCACACAGCAAACCACAACAAACATCTAAGAAACTACAGGCCTCATTCACCTCAGATAAGGTCAGTGTTCCTGATTCCACCATTAGAAAGAGAGTTCAAGGCAAAACCATTGCTAACCAAGAGGAACATAAATGCTCATTTCACATTTGCCAAAAAACACCTTGATGACTCCCAAGCCTTTTGGGATAATGTTCTGTTGACTGATAATTGGAAACTTTTTGGAAGACATGGGTCTCTTACATCTGGCTTAAAGCTAAGACAGCATTCATACCAACAGACAGACATGGTGGTGGTAATGTGATGATGTGGGAATGCTTTGCTGCTTCAGGGCCTGGGCACCATAACTGACGGAACCATGAATTCTGCTCTCTACCAGAAAATTCTGAAGGAGAATATCCAGTCTTATTGTGCCATGATTATGCACAGTTGGGTTATGAATGTCACAATCCAAAATACAAAAACATGTCCACCTATGAATGGCTCAAAAGAAACACAATTAAGGTTTTTGAGTGGTGTAGTCAAAGTTCTGACCCCACTGAGATGCTGTGGCAGGACCTTAAACGGGCAGTTCATGCTCCAATGCTCTCTAGTGTGGCTGAATTAAAGCAATTCTGCATTGAGGAGTGAGCCAGAATTCCTCCACAGCAATGTGAAAGACTGAGCTAAAGTTATCTGAAGCGTTTTGTGGCATAACCAAGTGGCACAACCAGTTATTAGGTTGTCATATATTACATTTTGTCTGAGGGCAAATGTACAAAAACTGACAAATATACAAAAATAAAGAAACTCTCGATGGGGCATATACTTTTTCACAGCACTGTAAAAATAAAAGCTAGATAAATTCCTACCCCCCCCCCCCCACCTAAATAAATAAATAAATAAATAAATAAATAAATAAACCAAAGGACACCGAACTCCAGTATACTGGTCATGTAAAATATGCAGTTCTATGGGGTGGGTAGCTATACTCTACACAGGCACACCCATTCACACACACCACAAAGAGCACATGGCATGTTGTGAGCCATTCAGACTTTGTTGGGTTTTGTATTTAGTCCCAGATGAGGGAGGCAAGCCCTGCTCAGAAAGTAGAAACTTTAGAGCAAGCAGGCACCAGCTCATCCACCGGACTCACTCAACAGGGCACACAGAAGTTTGGGGGAGTCCGGGTCGGGAACGGACCGACTGAGGATGAGGCTGAGATCATTGAGCACGACCAGCTATCCCAGCATTCTGATGACGCAGATGAGGTGGGTGGAATTTGTGGCTGCTGCTAAGTCCTAATAATGACTGAACTGGTGTACCAAAGCAATTGTAGAGATAAAACTGCTATATTAAAGCCAGTATTTATTGATATTTTTCCAAAGCTCTACAGTCAGCGCCAGAATTTTTTGCACCCTTAAGGAAAATGTGCAAAATGTCTAACAAGGCAGGAAACCATTGCAGAGGACCTTGGAACCCTCCATAATACAGAGCATTTCAACCTCAGTGATATTCTTAGTTTAGTATTTTGTCCTTTTCAAATCAGACAACAGTTTTTTAACAAATCTGGATACGGATAATTTTTGGTGTTTTTGGTGTATATTTATGCTAATCTTCTGCATTGAAGTCTTAATCTCCTGGCAGAGACAACTAGGTTTAAAATATCCTTGTACGTAACCGAATTCCTGATGCCACCAGTATTCACAAGGGCCTTTGGACCAATAACTGCAAAATAACCCAAGTAAAATGCAGTCAATTATCCACCACCATATTTACAGTTAGAGCATTTAGCAGACACGCTTATCCAGAGTGACTTACAGAAGTGCTTTGTAGTCTCTATAAAAAACATACTCTCATGCTCGTTCACTAGGGCAGAGCCTAAGAATAACATCAAGTGAAAATATCATATTTTACAGAGGGTATTCTTGTATTAAGCCCATTTATTGCCAAACATGGTGATGGTGTGCATGGCCAAGAAATTTGATTATGGTCTTATAGAGGCACAGCACCTTCTAATTAGTGCTAATGACACTTGTTCAGCCATTACATTTTATGGGGTGCCCTGATTTTGAAACTTCATCAACTCAATAGTGCACTTCTGAAAATTGTGATCTTCTTTTTGTCCTATCTGTTTAGATCTGTGCTCAGTGGGTATTTTAAGTGTCTTTGTAGTTTTATATCCAGTACCAGACTTATCTAGGGTAACACTGTTTTCCCCATGGTGATGGATGACAAAGAGATTGTACATGTGTGCCACATCATATTTGGTCAAAAGCAACAATAGAGTGAGGGGTGTCAGACATTTAGCCACCTATCATTTTGAGAAAAAAATCAACTCAAATCAACTTTTATTCTGGACTAGTGGAATTTTCCTGTTTGCAAGTTTCTTTGCCAAGTGTTAATAAAAAAGTTGTTATCTTGAGACCATGTCATCATGTGTGCAGCCTATTGTCCATCAGTGAGAGTGGATTAAGTTGCTGCATAGGTGATGGTATTTCTAATATTGACTTATTCATAATTTCACTATGTTGCTGAACAAGTGGCCTATTGTTTAAAATAGTGTGTAGGAGTGTGGATGCTGTATATGCAGAGTAAATACTCTTAAAATCTTTAAAAAGACTGTATGTGAATTTTTTAAACTTTTTAAACTTTAACACCCTTTTCTATTTGCATAACGGCAAGATTTTTGCATGCCAATCCCTGATAGAGTTGGATGATTAATATGATCAATGCCAAAATGGTTTGAAACCTGAAGACCTGCAACAGGCACTTAATGAGCCCTGCCCTAACTGCAGGACAATGACATTAGCAATGGGCAAAGCGCTCCTTGCAAGCTATAAAAATACTGCTGTCCATTCATCACCTTCCTCTGGCACTGTACAGCAACAAGGAGTGAAACAAACAGCAGATATGGTTGCAGAGCGCACTAGGAAGAGAATGGTAGAAAAGTGGGTAGGAAACGTGTCTGAAGGAGAGAGTGCCTTTCCTGCATTGGAACTTAGATTTGAGGAGCTGGCAGAGGGCCAAATGCAAGAGCTGTTAGTGGAAATGCAATAGCAAATTGGGGTACATAGCTCAAGGGAGACTAGTACAGTTATCTCCCATACAATTCAATTCAATTCAGTTTTATTTGTGTAGTGCTTTTGACATTGGGTATTATCACAAAGCAGCTTTACAGAAATATATAAATTCTGGATATAAATTATAAATTTATAAATCTATCCCTAAGGAGCAAGCCAAGGACAGTATGTCCCTGAGATAATATGAGGATGAAACCTTGAGAGGAACCAGACTCAAAGGGGAACCCATCCTCATCTGGGTGACACCAAATAGTGCGATTGTAAATATTTTCCCTTCTATAACTGTATCCTATATAGTCAAAGTGCAATTGTGTAACCAGGAACCTATAAGCAACTTATGAATATTAGTATCAGAGTCATTTCTGAATTCATTATAGTTGTATCTTGAAGTCTATTTTGATGAAGTTATCAACTATTCAATGATGGAGACTTGAGTGCAAAACTTCGTAACAATCGCAGTCCTAAGGCTATCTTTATGGTTTCTGTGTGGGACCACAGTAATCTCATTGATCTTTAGGCTGTCCATATGGGGCAAAATTCAGCAGCAGCGAGTGGTTTTCAGGTAATGAGAACTCCAACCAGAAATAGGGCATCAGGATGGTTCAGGCAGGTGCAGAGAGCAGAAGATGTCAGGATAATTGGTATCAACACTGGTATCAGCAGGTCTACAGAGATAGACCTTGATGTGTGACCCAGATTAGTGGCTATATCTCAATCTCTGAACTTGAGGCCAACTTCAGCAGAGAATGTTAGTAGCAGACTGAACATTTGAGTGAAAAACAGGCGCCCAGCACAGCAGCAGCACAGAATGCTTTACAAGTTGGTGTTAAGGCAGCCAATATGGCTGTACAAGTGCCTAATCCATTTTGTGGTACATTAGCTAGTTTCCATTTCCATTTATGGCATTTGGCAGACACCCTTATTCAGAGTGACTTACAGAAGTGCTTTGAAGTCTCTATCAATACATACATCCTGATACTGGTTCGATAGGTCATGAACTATGGATACCATCAGTCGAAAAACTCTGATGGGAAGTAATATAGTAAGAAAATTATTTTTATGTTGTCTTCTGGGAAATGTAAATATTTATGTAGCTTATTAAGGGTAGTACTAAATGAAAAAATAAGATCTTTAAACAAAATAATGACAATTTATACCAATTATGCTGTTCAAAAGTTTACAGTTTACTCTTAATGTAGTGTGTTGCCTTCTTGAGCATCACTGAATGTTTGCACCTTTTGTGATAGTTGTGTATGAGTCCCTCAGTTGTCCTCAGTGTGAAAAGATGGATCTCAGCATCATATAGCCACTGTTGGAAAGGGTTTAAATATGCAGAAGATGCTGGAAAAGCAAAGAATGTGCAGGACCTAGAGGATTTTTTTGAGGAACAGTGGGCAGTTTAACTGCTCAGGACAAACAAGGGACTCCTGAACAACTATCACAAAACATAAATGTATATATATATACTTTTGAACTGGTTCATTTGTGTAAATTCA